TCCTAATAACCCCACTGTCAAGGAGTGTCAACACTAAGTTTTGGTAAGACACAATCATCAAGGCGGCAAGTTTAGCATTAGAACACCCATTTTCTTTATGATTAGTAGTAATACTCAAATTTGATAACAAATGGTAATTATCTTTAGAATTACTCTATCCCTATTACCCTATTACTCTCTTATTAGGTTTAGTCTAACATAACAAACAACATCAAAGCAAGTTGTCAAGGGCATCTACCAAGTGTCTTTCTGGGAATGACAATACGCAACTTGCCAGTCAAACGTAAAGCCAGTGCAGAAAGTGCAAGCACAAGTCAGTTGCTCTGAGCTGTGTCACTTGATGCTATAAAGACAGCACCTTCCTCTTCTAGATCATTTCCTCTTTTTTATTGATGATGGTTACTTATATTACATTCATCTACGTTCATAAGCAAATACGAAAGAAATAAGTGTTTATTCTCCTAATAAACCAACATTATTTCTACCACACTGAATGTATTGCCTATAATGCGTTCACTTATAATGACTTTATAATGCAATTTCAGTCTATTACACCACTGAGAAGACTAACCCTAAGACGGTAAAACACTAAAAAAATGACACATATTAACAACTCTAGAATTATTAGAGAATGAAAGTGATTAAGAAAGTTTTTGTATGAAATGCACTGTCCCTCACTCTGAATGAAAACCAGCCTGGAGTGCCACATGGCTGGCACTAGCTAGCTTATCTATTCCTGTCTCCAACTGATTAAAGTATAATATCCCTGTAGATGTGATAATAACTACCTCAATTAAGAAAAGGAAGATTAATAAAGAAATTGCATATTCTTTTAGACTTTGCTGCCAATGACATTTGCTGTCATCCTGAACACTTACACATATACTAACACTAAAACACTAACACTATCACCATCACTAAAAATAGTGATAGTGATATTGACAGACAATAACTGTAGCAATGATATAAGTAATATATAGACTATTACTCCCTCCTTTTCCCCTTCCAATACAAGTCTTTTCCTTCCTTCCTTCTCTCCTCACCTTGCAAAGAGATTCAACAGGAGTAGACATCTTCTTCTCGCTGATTTTCTCGTATTTCTGTTTCTTGGTGGCAGCTTTAAGGCCTTGCCAGGGCAGAGACCCACGATTAAAATACATCAGCACGTATCCCAAAGATTCCATGTCATCACGCCGACTGAAAAGTAAAAAAGGATGCTGTAGTTGCCAGGGCAGTTGAATGTGCATTACACAACATCTTCAATAATAACAGGGAATATGAACAGTATACAATACCAATTCAATATGTAAAAAGTTGCAGACAGAGATGCTGGGATTCCTACTATGGTAGCATGAAGCATATTTATAGATACCTTACACGATGAAAACTATCATTACAATCATATACATAAATATAGGGCTGGAATCAATTCTTCCCCAATCCCCCTGGAAGTTTATTGAATCTCAATACTTACTATTCCGAATAATGGCTCTAACTTAACTAGAACTTAGTGCAGCTAAAATGATAATCATAATGATATTGTGGTTACCCCCCCCCTCTCAAAGTCATTGAATACACTGGCAATACTAACCTCTTCAAAGGCAAGAATTAAAAACAGGCTACACAGACTATTCCAATTCACAATATGGATGGTCATTCATATTTTAGTCTGGGATCCTGTCTATTCTGGGAGATACTTTGATTTTCATCTTGCTGAGCATCAATATGAATACTCTCCTAAATGAAGTTCAAATTTGTAAACTCTATTTTCTATATGCTGGCCTTTAAACAATTATATAGCATAGCAATAGAAATTCCTATTCTGTTTATCATTCTTGACCACTGGCCAACTTGTGCTCATGCCCAGGCCTTGGATAAGAAATGAACTCTAGTAATGCTTTACAGAACACCCACAGATAAACACCCTGTTCAAGAATACTTATGTATTAACCCCTTCCTGACTGGTGACACCAATAGGCGTGAAAACAAACCACTTGAAAGCTGGCGTGCGGCTGTACGCCGTGGCGACGAGCCAGTGATTCGGGCTGATGTACTGAACTCACGCGCTCAAAGTCAGCGCGTCGCCTTTGTTTGCCAGAGCGTAGATTTTTTTTTTTGTTTTCTTCACCCGTCACCATTGGGTTAAACTATTAAAACCCTAGCAAATGTATCAGTTGGCTTTACATCCCCTCGCAAACATGCAAATTCCACAATCGAACAATGAGAATATCACTAGTATCATTACCATATTAATTTTTATTCTCTCTATCTCTCCCCCTTTAGTTACTATTTCAAGAATGCCATTTGGCTTGTAGGCTACATTTCAAATTGATATCAATCAATACAACCCATTTTCATCGAACCAAGGGCAAGGTTATTCATACTCATATTCATCCACATATCAAAATACAAGTCTCAAAGTAAGACACACTGCTATCTTCGAGGAAAACTCCTCAGGAGAGCACTCACCTCTGCTCAATCCCCAAGTGCGCATTGATTGAAGCGTAACGAGCAGTTCCAGTCAGGTTCTTGTCCTCCCGGTAGGGTATGTGGGCTCGGGAACGGTTGTCCCTGTACTTCTTGGCCAGTCCAAAGTCAATCAGGAATAATTTGTTGCAGTGGCGGCCAATGCCCATTAGGAAGTTGTCTGTGTGGCGGCAGGGGGTGGAAAGAGATTAAACGGGATTCAAAATTGCAGAAAATCATCATTCGTAAACATGTCAAGGAACCAACGCTTTAAAAGAATGGAAGCCCAGACATGTTATGAAATGTTAATTGAATAAGTAAGGCTAAAACAATCCTCACATGCTTATTAACGTACTGGACATTTTAATACAAAATGGCTTACTTTTCTAACCAACTAAATAGCAATATAAACTTTACACAATGGATTAGCAAATTCTGTAAAACTGTAAAAAATCTTGGAAGGGTTGTGCATCATATGCATATTTTAGAGTACCGTTTCCTTAGCCATATCGTAACTCCATTCAAAAGAGGAAACTAAAAAGTGAAAAGTGACTTTACTGTTGCTATTTTAACAGCTTTCAGTGAATTATACTACTTACTGAGCTCCTCTGAGATTGTTTCATCAAACACAAACTTTTTTTTTTGTAAGGAGTGATTTGAATCTACTATATATATATATATTACATAACTATAGTTTTGAAACAAATAACACATACAAAAAAAACACTAGAATTAAAGCCTGAATTCCTTTCTAAAGTTAATCTTCAAGACTTGCTTCCATTCTAACACTCTTCCCTTTTCAACAGAAATGTCAAATACCTCATTCCCATTTTACACGAATGTATGTTTTACCCTTATCTCTTTATGCAAATACTAAAACACAATTCCATTTCCCTTAGAAATATGTACATACAATACCACTTTCTCCTTCAGAAAGTAATGCACAATACCCTGTTCTGTTTCAACCCTGTAACACAATACTCCATTCTTTCATAAAATTTAATGCAAAAAAAAACCCTACCTCTTCTTGTTTCTTATAATAATGTATAATACAGATTTCCATTTACATGCTAATGCCCTGTACCCCTCTCACTTCCAAAACTAATATGTAATACCCATTTCCACCAACTCCTACCCACCTGGCAAAAAAATAAAGAGAAACAAAGGGTTTAATTAACCTTAATTACTCACTGTATCTTCCATCAATAATTCACAAATTTATGATAACATAAGCAAAACATAATGTGAATGAAAAATGATTACACAATGATCATAGTTACTGGCAACAAGTTAACTTCAACAAAGAAAAGTCAATTATGTGTATAATACTAGGGTATATAAAATGTTTTTTAAAAATAAGACAGATATTTGACAGAACCAGGAAAATTATATGGCCTTCAATAATGACTGAGTCTATGACCAAACTCTGTTAATATAATAGATGTAACTACTATCATGATAATGTATGTGATTTGCATGGCATTTGTAACCTTAAAATAAGTTTGCAAATAAACACTAAATAAAGTCCTGTTCAATCTTTTACACAAAGTAATTATAGTAACAGTAAAATCTCTACAAACACAACATAACAAACACCTTTAGAAGCAGAACAGATCCTATTTTCAAATTAGGAGAATCATATAGACTGTGAAGCAGTAAAATCAAAAAACTTCTCAGAAAAAAAAAATCCCTCTAGCATCAAAAACTTAAGCATATGGACAAAACACAAACACAAATACATTTACATTTTCCCAAAGATAAAAAGTGAGTAAACAATGCCACAGTATGAATGGGCTCAGAATGTACCACTTCAACCTCATCAAGAGCTCCTCACATCAGACAAGGAAAACGAGAAGTGGATGAATTTCAGTTTTTACTGGTCTGATGAGGAATTCTCTAAACAATTTCTTATTCCATCCACTCAAGGCAGTGTTTCCTTTAAATCTTTGGCTTATATCCAATCACTTCCCCTACACAAATGCCAATGAAAGCAGCACAATATGAACCTGACAGCACATCCCTCTCTCAAACAATGTCCTCAAATTCACACCTGGCTTTATATCTCTGTGTATGAAGTTCTTGTTGTGTATAAACTCTATGCGTCCAATCATCTGGTCTGCTAGCATTAGGACGGTCTTCATGGTGAAGCGTCGACTGCAGAAGTTAAAGAGGTCTTCTAGGGAAGGTCCTAAAAGGTCCATTACCAAGATATTGTACTGTTGCTCTTGACCAAACCATCTGCAACAAAAACAGGTGGGAATTAGAGGGTTAGCATAATAGCTTTTGTACCAAACTGGAGCCTCGGAAGGACCTTAAGTAATCCTCGCTCACTGCTACCATTTGGTTCATAAAATTTGCTGCAGAAATATGCAAGGATTAACTTTGAACAGTATTCATTTGTAGAATGTTTATACAACTTAAATCTCATTGATTCACAATTTACATATATGACTTTGTGTGAAAAAAGGGAGCAAGAAAAAGAAAACTCATTACAAAGGGAAGAATAAGAAAGCACAACAAAGGTAAGAACAGGAAACAGAAAAAGGGGAGAACAGGAAAACACACACACAAAAAAAATCACTACACTGCTTCTTTGTGCATTTTCCTATCATTCACTTCATTGTTTTACTCAGTATTTGTTCAGCATGAATTCTTCATATCTGCCTTAATTTATCAAACTGAAGTTCTCAACCACAAACAGACACCATCCATACAGCTTTTCAAAACTTTTCTCAACCTAAACCTTGTTCTTTTCTTTTTTACCTCATAATCCCCTCATTAATCTGAAAAACGGTTGCTAAAGTGGACTGACATCATATCCCTATCTATACCAAATAGGCTCAATACTATGATATGCATCAAAGAAGCATCATTCACCTACAAATAATGCAGCCATCCACACTTTTTACTCCTTTTGGCAGCCAATTAAACCATAGCATCAAACAATCGGAGAGCCTGCTGCCCAAGCTCTGTACCTGGATTAATATACACAACAGCTGTGACTTTTTCCCTTTAAGCAACCATGTGGGAGGCAAGCAGTGATGGGCATCGATACACAGAATTGTTGAAAGCAATGCTGATACTTGAAAATTGGCTGTGAGAAAGAGTGAGTGAGTGAGTGAGTGAGTGAGTGAGTGAGAGAGAGAGAGAGAGAGAGAGAGAGAGAGAGAGAGAGAGAGAGAGAGAGAGAGAGAGAGAGAGAGAGAGAGAGAGAGAGAGAGAGAGACAGACAGACAGACAGACAGACAGACAGACAGACAGAGACAGACAGACAGACAGACAGACAGACAGACAGACAGAGACAGACAGACAGACAGACAGACAGACAGACAGAGACAGACAGACAGAGACAGACAGACAGAGACAGACAGACAGAGACAGACAGACAGAGACAGACAGACAGAGACAGACAGACAGAGACAGACAGACAGAGACAGACAGACAGAGACAGACAGACAGAGACAGACAGACAGAGACAGACAGACAGAGACAGACAGAGACAGAGACAGACAGAGAGAGACAGAGAAGGGGGGGGAGAGAGAGAGAGAGAGAAACTGAAATGTCTTATTTGTATTTATCTGTACAGATGACTGGTAACTATACACAACATATTTGCTTTCAATACAGAACCTTAATCCTGCAATTTGTTAGTAACAGAAGGGCCTGCACTGCATGTATGAAATAGTTGCTCAAGTTTCTCGAAACTTGCTATGTGACCTCAGTTAACTAAGAAAAGAATTTGTTAAAAGTGCCATCAACATCTAGAAAACTATCTACATCACTCAAATTTCATATCAACTTTCTTGAATTGCACTGTGCATAAGCATAATGGAAAGAAAATGTGTGAATTTCTATCAAAAATTGTTATACACTCTTCACAGAATTTAGAAAATTCATTTTACTTTTCATTTTTCAGGTATCTTTCTATTATCAATTCTTTACTAGAAATGGGATTCTTAGAATAAAAGATGTGCTATATTTTACTTTCTACAGCGCATGAAACTCCAAAACAACAAATAATACTAACTGAAATACAAGAGGAGATGGGTCAATTCATGAATATTAATATTACTTTCAAATTGGTCATATAAATGTATTAATGTACCAATTTTTAAAAACTTTTTTGAAAAAAGCACCTGAGGTTTTCCTGCGTATCAGCCTGATCTTAAAAGTTAGTGGGAACCTGTGTATGTATATGTAAGTGTGTGTCACTCTGACAATAGGTAGAGAAAATCCACACTATATTCAGACACTCCAACTGAAGTCAAGCCCATACCTACATATCCATTGCCTTTGCCCTCCTCCCCCCCACACAAAATGTTTAATGATTTTGATATTAATATCAACAACAATAATACTAATTACAAATAATAGTCCTAATAATAACAATAATAACAATAAAAAACTAAAAATAATAATAATATACAATAGTAATAGTAATAAAATAACAGAAATACCAATAACAATAACCATATTAACAAAAACAACAACAAAAAGCTAATAACATATAAATAAATAATACATAAATAAGAACTACACACTGTTGCCAAGTTAGAAACTACCCGTTGTTGCCAGCCCAGTCAGCGGACCCAGGCTCCACACCACACCACTTTCACTGCTTTCTCTTGCCACACTCCCTTTCCCCCCTCCCCCTCCCCCTCCCTTCCCCCTTCCCTCCCTCCCTCCCTCCTGCCCACCAGCCCCCAGACAACTCCCGAGGCTCTTTTGCATCATGTAGGGAGAGAAACAGTGAGGAAGGCATTGAGAGGGAGGGAGGGAGGGAGAGAGGGAGGGAGGGAGAGAAGAGGAGAGAGGGAGGGAGGGAGAGAGGGAGGGAGGGAGAAAAGGTAGGAGGGAGGAGGAATGGGAGGGGAAGAGGAAGAGGAAGGAGGAAGAGGAAGGAGGAAGGAGGAGGAGGAAGGTAGGGAGGGAGGAGGGAGGAAAAGGGAAAGACAAAGAAGAGGGGGAAAAGGGAAAGACAAAGAAGAGGGGGAAAAGGGAGAAGAGGAGGGGGAGTAAGGGAAGAAGAGGGGGAGAGAGGAAGAGGAGGGGGCGAGAGGGAAGAGGAGGGGGCGAGAGGGAAGAGGAGGGGGCGAGAGGGAAGAGGAGGGGGAGAGAGGGAAGAGGAGGGGGAGAGAGGGAAGAGGAGGGGGAGAGAGGGAAGAGGAGGGGGAGAGAGGGAAGAGGAGGGGGAGAGAGGGAAGAGGAGGGGGAGAGAGGGAAGAGGAGGGGGAGAGAGGGAAGAGGAGGGGGAGAGAGGGAAGAGGAGGGGGAGAGAGGGAAGAGGAGGGGGAGAGAGGGAAGAGGAGGGGGAGAGAGGGAAGAGGAGGGGGAGAGAGGGAAGAGGAGGGGGAGAGAGGGAAGAGGAGGGGAGAGAGGGAAGAGGGGGAGAGAGGGAAGAGGGGGAGAGAGGGAAGAGGGGAAGAGAGGAAGAGGGGGAGAGGGAAGAGAGGGAAGAGGAGGGGGAGAGGGGGGAGAGAGGGAAGAGGAGGGGGAGAGGGGGGAGAGAGGGAAGAGGAGGGGGAGAGGGGGGAGAGAGGGAAGAGGAGGGGAGAGGGGGGAAGAGGGAAGAGGAGGGGGAGAGAGGGAAGAGGAGGGGGAGAGAGGGAAGAGGAGGGGGAGAGAGGGAAGAGGAGGGGGAGAGAGGGAAGAGGAGGGGGAGAGAGGGAAGAGGAGGGGGAGAGAGGGAAGAGGAGGGGGAGAGAGGGAAGAGGAGGGGGAGAGAGGGAAGAGGAGGGGGAGAGAGGGAAGAGGAGGGGGAGAGGGGGGAGAGAGGGAAGAGGAGGGGGAGAGAGGGGAGAGAGGGAAGAGGAGGGGGAGAGGGAGAAGAGGGGGAAGAGGGAAATCACTAGAAATCACTGCAAATGCTGATAATTTTTCTTCACTTCCCCAAATAACTACACAACTAACTTTCCATAGCTACTATTCTAAAAATCCCTCCCATATATTTACATATATGTGCATGTACATGTGCAGGTGCTTGTGCATATGTGTATGCGTATGCTTGTGCATGTACGTGTGTATGTGTGTAGAAAATCTAAAATTTGATAATTATGACTATCTGTCCCACCTCATTGCAAAATTGAAAATGAAGAATCTAATTTACCATGAAAGGTATAATAAAAGTAACTACACTCTCCAGACTCTGGAATTTTCAGTTCTCTATATCAGGCTAAATACCTACTGATAGAAAACAAGAATTTTGAAAATGTACTTTTTTCCCCATTATCTATACCTTTCACTTTTTACTTCCTCCAGATATAAGTATGTGTACAAAGAGGAACTACACTTTAATACCCATAAATCTTTAAAATGGCAGGGTAGAAAAAACTAATAACACTTTCACCGATGGGGAACTCCCTTACCAGACACAACCAGCAAACCACATAAAACAAACACAAACACAAAACAATAAAAAAAATTATAACCAGTTCCCCCAGGCCACTAATAAACCCACCTGAATGGTGTAAAAAGTCTCCTGCCAAACAAACAAACAAAAAATCCCTGGGACCCTATAAACCCATCATTGCATATATGGCGAGGGGGGGGGGGGGGCAAAAAAAAAAAAAAAAAAAAAAAAAAAAAAAAAAATTACGTAGGATGCAGGCAAACCACGGGAGCAGGCTGAAAGTTTTGCCCCGAAAGTAGGCCAAGAGCAGATAACACGGTCACCCCCTCCCACACTCGTCGTACACACATTACCAATTATGTCCAACGGGTTCACGCAGAGAGAGGCACTCACTTAGTCTCCCATCCTGCACACTTTCACATCATCTCTGGCGTTATCTCATTCCCCCAATTCTCCCTCTCTATGCCCCAACACCCTAAAGCAGAGAGGAGAAAAAAAAGGAAAAAAAGAGAATAAATATACACTAGAACAGCACACCACAGCTCAGTCATCTTTTGCTATGATAATACTCCATGACACACTCACAGGAGCATTCATAAAGCACATCCTTGAGAGGGGAGGGGGAAGGGGGAAGGCAAGAGGGGGAGAGGGGGAGAGGGGGAGAGGGAGGGAGGAGGGGAGAGGGCGAGAGAGGGAGAAGGGGAGAGAGGGAGGAGGGAGGGGGGGAGAGAGGGAGGGAGGGAGGGAGGGGGGAGAGAGGGAGGGAGGGAGGGAGGGAAGGAGGGAGGGAAGGAGGGAGGGGGGAAAGGGGAGGGGGAGGGGGAGGGAGTAGGGGGGAGAGGGGGAGGGAGTAGGGGGGAGAGGGGGAGGGAGTGGGAGGGAGGGAGGGAGGGAGGAGAGATGGACAGAGGGGAGATAGTGGGAGGGGGGTGGGGTTAAAGAGATGCATTCACAGCCCGACCCACCACAATAAAAATAACAGTGGCAAGCCATGTTTCTCATGCACAATGAACAAAATCCTTTCTATTACTGTTGTGATAGCTAAAAATTGCTATACTCTTCCTCTCTCACATATCAGGAACCTACCTGATTTAGGGAAGGCAAGAGGGGGAGAGGGGGAGAGGGGGAGAGGGAGGGAGGAGGGGAGAGGGCGAGAGAGGGAGAAGGGGAGAGAGGGAGGAGGGAGGGGGGGAGAGAGGGAGGGAGGGAGGGAGGGGGGAGAGAGGGAGGGAGGGAGGGAGGGAAGGAGGGAGGGAAGGAGGGAGGGGGGAAAGGGGAGGGGGAGGGGGAGGGAGTAGGGGGGAGAGGGGGAGGGAGTAGGGGGGAGAGGGGGAGGGAGTGGGAGGGAGGGAGGGAGGGAGGAGAGATGGACAGAGGGGAGATAGTGGGAGGGGGGTGGGGTTAAAGAGATGCATTCACAGCCCGACCCACCACAATAAAAATAACAGTGGCAAGCCATGTTTCTCATGCACAATGAACAAAATCCTTTCTATTACTGTTGTGATAGCTAAAAATTGCTATACTCTTCCTCTCTCACATATCAGGAACCTACCTGATTTAGATTAACACACCCAATATATACTCATATTGAAGTTAACATTAAGGAATGAAATACTCTAAAATCTGCGTCAAGGCACCTAACAATTCACATAAACTACTCCCTTTACAAATACAAACATCCTCTACCCCCCCTCACCCCCCCACCCACCCCCCACCCCAAAAAAAGTAAAAAGTTGAAGAAAAGAAACAAGCAAGCTATCTTGTCATCAAGTGATAACTCCAAACTTTCCTTGTCTCATGCTAATAGAGAGCTCTTGCACAAACTGCTAATCAAGAACCAACAACACATAACCAAGCCATTCATTAGTCTACCCACTATATCTCCAGCATTTTTTTTATTTGATGTTATTTTCCTCCATCAGAATTCTGCACTGATATTTACAAATAATTAAAAAAAACACACTGATTTGTATCCTCTTCATCTGATACACACACAACCTAAAACCAACAAACAAACAAAAACAAACAAACAAAAATAAACAAACAAACAAACAAACCTCTCAACCAAGCAACCAAACATCAACAAACACCAGGAAGCTGCAAGGGTTGGGAGTACTGTCTGTGAGAGTGTGAAGGCGTCTGGGTCAGCAGGCCAAACAACATTCCTAGCAGCTTTCTTTGCTTCAGCTGGGCCTGCATTTTCAGCATACTCTCTCTCCTTGTGAGAAATCTTCACCAGAGCATCAGCTGAGAGCCCATTTGTGTGGCTGTGCATTTCAGCACAAAAGTCTTCCTAATTCTAATATATTCACCTATTTTTAACTTTGGTAGAAATGGACCAATAAATTCAGAATTCTAGATGAGAAAGATGTATACTAAACAATGAAAAATATCAAATAATGAACTATGAGGAAAGGTGTCTTGTGAAATACAACAAACTTTCTTCACACACTGATTACGGCCAAGGGACTTTCTATGAGAGAAAGTTTCTCTTCCTCCACTCACAAACTCTACAACTCATTAACTTGCTCACCCATTCATTCACTTTCATTTACTGACTATCAGTGTCCATGGCCCAAGCTACATCATCTTGGCAAAAAAGGGTATTTATAATGACTTTTTACCATTCTTTACTCAAATAACAGATAAAAGGCAAAGATCAATAGTAAAATGAAGATTGAAGGCATTTTGATAACAGATTAAAAAAAATATGTTCCTAAAAATATATATATATGAATACTTTTCTTTTTAAGCAGAAACAAAAAAATATTGACTGATATTTAAATTCATCCTGACAAATTGATCTTCTTCATTAAAAAAGATGCTGTTATGAGCTTGTTTGCTCTTCTGTATACATACAATGTTTTGTGCAATCAGATAGACTATAAAACATAGATTTAAATATCATTGATCTCCTGTTTGTATAAGACACAATGTACTTACCATTTCCAATCTATACACTCTGTTTTACTCAATGAATTTCATCCTAATAATTCATTACAAGCTAAAATTAGTATCCACTGAATGTAATTTCATTCATCTTTCCTCAGATATTCAATATTCAAATTCATCATTCTCTGACATCCCAAGGTCTCTATAAGATGAGTACTAGAATCTATGCTCTTATTAGGCTACATTTGGAAAACTCTTTTTTGCTATTCTTTGCTATTCTTACATTTAACATTTTCAATAATCAGTGGTTTTCTTTAGGCAAACTCCACTGTTAACTACTATAATTTTCTGAAGCAAAAATACCAATTACTAACAAATCTACAAGGTTATGGATTACAATTACAGCCACCAAACACAACGACAATTCAAACAAACAACACAGTCAGACTTTTCCTGACCAAAAATTAACCAACATGAAAAAAAGGAAGAGAATAAGAAACACAATAAGACTACGAGTCAGAATAACGGGAAAAAATAAAGACCCAAAACAAGGGGAAGGGGGAAGTACGGTCCCTCGCCACCTACCTTATGTGTGGAATTCCAACGCCTCCTTGAAGAATCTTGTAGACTTTGCTCTCATACAGTAGCTGCGGATGCCGGGCCTTCATGGCCTCCAGCTTGATTGCAACCTCCTGCAAAGACAAAGGGAGTATTAGGTGCATGTGCGTGGACGGAATGAGGAAACAGGTAGGGAAAGGTTTCAAGTCTACTGAATGTCTGGAACAGTGGTCTTCCTTTCCAACACAAATGTATTAATAGATTAAAGATTCCAAACTAATTCTGGTAACACCTTATTATGAAAGACACCAAGCTGAGATCTCATACATATCTTTTACCACCAGCTTTTCACCTACTTCAGCCTTCAGAGAATTTATGATCATCTGCCATGTAGATAAAATAAAATATGATGACATACCAATGCATTCTTATCATTCCTTTCCTCACTTCTCTATTCTATTGAGTATTGTTAGCCTTCTAACCACAATATACTGACCTCACTTCTTCTTTTCATTTCATTATTCTATTGTACTTAGCTACAGCTCTGATCTGGTACAAATGCTAGGAAGTTTTGCTTATTCAGCTGCTTTCCACATCAGTTTACATTGGGCAAAAAAAATACTGAAAGATATTTCCTGCTTTTCACAACAGTTTAGATTGCAAGAATAACATTCATACACATAGTTCCCCCATACATATTAGGTCTATATAGATTTCTGTGATGAAAAATACATCTACAGTTACAGTTTCCTCTGCACCCCTCTAGGAGCCATCAATCACAGTCACATTATGGCAGAAGATTTATCGAAGCAGAAGGCCAAATGTCACATGGGTTAACAGTGAACCATGCAATATTTCTCTTTTTATGATGCTCCTAATGTTGATCAATATTATCTATTCACTGTCTGAAAACTTAGATAGAATAAATCTCATTCAATTTTTTTTTTAAGAGTTAAAAAAACAGTTCAATACATAAGTGATTAAACTCTCCCCCAAGGCATCAATGTACCTATAATAAAAATGATACAGGAAATCAAACGGTTAATCATATCAAAATCATATAAACCCAATTACAGACACAGGTAAATCACGAACACATAAACCTAGGTGACCTACAAAAAAAAGAAAAAAGAAAAAAGATCTGGCCAATTGCAGGAGCAACACCAGCACCTTAATTGACCTTAACAACACCCAATATCCCCCCCCTCCACCCCCTCCCCACCCATCCAAATTTGCGAGCACATCCAAAAGAGTTTCAGCGGCGTGAATTGTGAGCCAAGGAGTCCCAGGCAGAACATTGATTAGTCACTACAACCTGCTGCAGTAGAGTCACAGCATAGCCTCCAAAAAGTATACTCCTGCATTCTGCTTTTATTATTTGTTGAGTTCCCCTCCCCATTTTTCCTTTTCTTTCTTTCTTTCTTTCTTTCTCTCTTTCTCTTTCTTTCTTTCTTTCTTTCTTTCTTTTTCTTTCTTTTTCTTTCTTTCTTTCTTTTTCTTTCTTTCTTTTTGAGGGGAGGACAGAGGTCTATCACAATTTCAGGAAATGTAAACTGCATGTTTGCAACACTTAAATTAAGTAAAGGAAATTAAATTGAAATTACTAGCTACTGCAAGGATTTACACAAAACAAACAAATATATAAACTAGGCTCAAGGAGTGAGACAAGAGCATAGGCCTACTTGATCAAAGAAGGCCCTTATAGTATTCTTAGTGACTCATCATCATAAAATTATCTTATTATTTATTCTATTATATTGTCTATATTTAGTTATATAGTATAATCCAAATAAAATATGAATACAAATAATTCAGTTAGCCTAAAGACTATACCATTATGTAATGAATGAAAATACATGACATGAGGTTTTACCTCAATCAACTGTGTGTCTTTTCATAGGTCATTACTATGCACACATTTAGAGAAATACCCTATTCAATCTATTCATTTGTAAACTGTATTTACTGTGTACAGAAAATACGGAGCCAACACTGAAATAAAAAAGCAACGCTTTGGGGTGACATTTTCTCTTTCTCTCCTTTTTCTCTCAAACCCTCCAACAAACATTTCAGTTTAGCCCTGTAACAAATAAACCAAAAACTATACATGCAACATGATCTATTAATCAATTTGTGCAACAACTTATACTGGATGTCATTCTAATGCAATTTTCTAGAGAAATGTTTATTCCAAAGAACACCTCAAATACCTATAAAGATATTTTTCCAAATGAAGATACCAATGCATTACAAACAACCAAACAATAATCTCATAATCATAACCCCACTACCTCCCAGGGTCACAGAAGGTCATGCAGTCCCAAACCGGGACACGGCATCTATTGGATTCTCCCTCACTCTTCTACAAGCCATTACTGCATTGAAACTCCTATTATCTTTTCGTTTCATTTTTCTATTCTTTTGCAGCAGTAAAATAGCAATGGCACTTTTTCACATTTCTGCAATACATATATCAACTCTATCCTTTATTCCTACTGCATTGGGAGTAAAACTAACATATCTAACAAACTAAAATATCTAACAATGATTCCCATCCCAGAACAACACTGATTCTCTGAAGAATTCCTTTGCTATTGTGGCAAAAATGTGGCAACAATGAATTTCTGACTTTTCTCCCCATTTGTTACAAAAAAATAAGATTAACATATACATGATACAATCCACAACATCATCAATCATCACTGAAGACTGCCATAACACCCTATAGAATACACTGACCAAAGAAAATCGACATTTATTAAAGTTAGTAAGTCCTTCCCCATGTATTACAAAATTTAGTAAGTGTGTTCCCTTAGGTTTCGGGCTGAGAAACACACCCAAACACAAACAAACTGACTCAGGACCTATCAATCATATGAAGAAAAAAAAAAAAAAAAAAAAAAAAAAAAAAAAATTCGCAGCAACAAGAGAAGGATTTGACATACTGGTGCATGAGAGAACGTCCTGATTTGCCATTCCGTTAACATTCTACACTTTCAGACATATAGCACATAGTGTGGGAGTTTATGGTATGGTATAGCGCTATCCATACACAAAGACATTTGTAAATCCAATATTTATGACAAAACAACAAAAGTAGCCTTGTAAATTTCATAAACTTTGGAATCTATTACAACAACAACAACAACAACAACAACAACAACAACAACAACAACAACAACAACAACAACAACAACAACAACAACAACAACAACAACAACAACAACAACAACAACAATGATAATAATACTAACTAATACTAATACTAATATTAATAATAACAATAATAATAGTAATATATTAATGAAGTAAATGAGTGTACTGCATTTCCCTCTCACCAATCCATGACTTCATTACTGTGTAATTAAGTCCTGTGGTATATAATCAGACTGGTTTGGAAACATGACACCACAAGTAGCTTGACAAAGAGCCACACGAACGTATAAAATGTCAATGCATTTGCAGTATCATGGGCTGTATACATGCTTGGAGAACAAAACCTCACTTGTAGAAATGGCATGAATGAGAATATATTCACAATACAAGAAATGTATTTGACTAGTTTCAATTAAATCTCCATTAGAAATACAGGAATGTGGTTCAAAAGCTCACTTCGTGAGCAGGATTTCTTTCAAGCTTCCTTTTTTTTTTAATCTATTCTTAAAGTAGATATACTCAATATATGACTTTAAGAAAGTAAATCATATATACATATATATAAGAGCAAGTGATACCTATACTATATACAAAAAACAATATATGACTATTAATAAGATTAATAAGAAATAGCAAATGCTACAGAAAAAAACTAATGAATTTTTTTAATATGCCTTTATGCATATTTAATAACTCTACCACAGCCTTCTGAGACAGGAGTATAACCTCTTCCCAACTATAATGCAAATATTAAGTATCCATAATAATTCTAATACAAGCAAACATTTTTTTTCTAAATCAAACTCCCTTCTGTGCACATTATGAGAAAATCAGACTGGTTTATATAAATACTCTATTTCAACAGATTGCATCAACAATTAGCTTAGGCTATATATGATAAGTGCACCAAAGCTACTTAATATAAATACAATATTGTACCCAAATATTGATAAGCTTGCACTTTGCAGAAGTATATCAAACACACCAAGAATAACTTAACACTGCATTGCATGACTCAAAAAAAATTCATATTACAAATATATAAGGAAAATTACAAACTAGACTACATTTTATGCATCAAATCTAAGAAAAAATAACAAGTAATGTTACTCCTAGACTTTCCCACCCACTCCTACTAAAAAATATTAATATCACCAAAATTGAAAAAAAAAATGTAACTTGCATACTGCAATGAGGGGTTTTGAAATATATTTTCAAAGAAAACTGCATATGCCTGACTTCTCCATCACAGACCTAAACTCTTGCTATCAATGATGCCAACCGAACACTGTCACTTCCATTAGAACCATTTAATGAACACTTACAAGTTACAAACTGGCATAAAGCTGCATTGCAACAGTGCTAACTTTTTCTTTCTTTCTCTTTTTACTCCACGTCATGAACTTTTCCAAAATAACTTATACAATCTATATCACGTAAAATCCTTCTTCGATAACATTCAGATTCCTTCCTCTCTCACTGGCTTGTCCTAAAGGTCATGAAGGTGTGGTCCTGCCCCTTTACAACTCCCATGAATTTTCAAAGACCAAGTCTGTCCTAATAGGTTTTAAAATGCTTTTGGAAGAGCATCTCATCAGCAATACGGAATGTGCGCGACAATGGGCAACATTAAAAGGATGCAACATGATATAGCAACCTCAAGCACATAAATGCTTCAAACTTCACAACAGCCAAACAAAAAATGTTCATTGTTAAGGTTCTCTCTTCCTATCTGCAACCAAGAGCAGTTTTGTGAATTTAACTTGTTAATTGCATTTCCACACAGATGGCTCCACAATTGCTTAGTCACTAAGGAGTCAGTTATTAGTATTACCTTTTTGTTTATCCTTTCCCTTGATTTTTAGAAAGATTCTCTTTCATCTTATATAGCTATTTGTAATATTAATAACACTATAATAATTAAAATGTCTAACATAATAGTAACAGCATCAATATAGAAAGTATTAATAAAAAAAACGTTTTCAGAAAAAAAAATAAAGGAGAAATCGGGTAAGATATCGAGGTCTACTAACTGACCCTCTGGTGGCTGAGGACTTGCGGAGCCGTCTTTAGGCAGAAAAATTTCACAAAACAAAGCTACGGTGGACATTACATTTCCCCAGCAGCAATGGGTTAAGAAATGTTGCTATCTTCTTGCCACAGTTGTCAAGTTAAAGGTTAATGAAACAGCACTTTTTTTTAGAGCTTGTGTGATCCCTGAACATGAACAGTCAAAAGTAGGTCAGCTTTGTTAGAGTACAACAGAGAAAAGAACTAAGTAAGGTAGAGAGTGTTCAGGTTAGGTAATATTAGTAATGTACAGCAAAGAAAAGTAAAATAACATACAATGCCAGAATATTAAGATAGCTGGATACAGTAAGGGTTAAATAAAAACACATACACAAAAAAAAATATTCACAATACCGCAAGGGATGGTCACATACAAGCGAGTAATGTAATGAAAACTAAAGGCAAGGCAGAGAGTATTGCAAGGTAAGGTCATGACTGAGAGAAATAACATGGGAGGCCCAAGCCAGGTCAAGTAAATCAAGGTATGGTAAGGTAAGACAAGCTAAGCCAAAGTAAAAGAAATGTATGGTGGAGTTTGATGAAGTAAAAAAAAAATCTGTCAATATGCAAGCAAGGAAATGAACAAATTCAGTACAATAAAGGAAATGAAGTACCACTTTTAAAAATATAAAAACCTAAAATATTCCAAAACAAAGCATAGACCTACATATCCACAAGAAAAATTTAAATATTTCATTACAGACAGAAAATAAGACATTTTATTCTTCTGAATTTCCTTTAAAAGTTTGAAATCTATGCAAAAGAAAAAAAAAAACAGCTGTTCCATTACAGCAATAAAACAGAAAATAATGTTCCAATTTTTTTTTCTGTTTTCATTTTTAGAGCAAGCTGAAAGGCTAAGACCACATTTCAGGGGAGGCCCAAATACTTCAAAATATATTCCAGAATGATAAGCTAAATACCTTTTCATTTAGCACTCAATACAAGTAAATATTTCCTTTTCAATTATATAGAAAAATCAATATTTCCAATAAATCAACATTTCTAAATTGTTCACCTTCACCTTCACAGAAGTAATTAAATTTTGGCAAATAGCAAGTTAATAGATTAACCCTTTCACTACAAATAATATACACAGTATTACATCTATATAACACAACATATAAGCCACTTTCCTTCTTTGTTTCCCCGTCAAAAAAGTAAACACAAAGTACATTCATCAATTTCACTTCAATAAAAAATATATATATATATAAACCACAACACATCAAGTTCCCAATCCTTGTCCAAACCTCATAAAAATATCTGCCAAATTGTAAGAAATTATGACCAACTGACCCTGCCCCAAGCCAACCACATATCAAAATCTTGGTCAAAATCCCAGCTATGATACAGATCATCAAAACAAAGGTACACCTAAGAGTACAAACATCAACAACAACTTGTCTTTTTCAAAGGCATAGATTTGTATTCCACTTTAGAGAGAAATCATTAGAGTTTTATCCAAATCAACAGAAACAGCTGTTCCAGGACACCCAAACCAACAGAAGATAAAACACCCAAAAAAGTCCTAAATTCATCCCTAATACTAATCAAGGAAGTACTGATATTCCTTCAAGGACCATTCTACCTGAGATTCTTCCCAAACTAGGAAAATAAAGCAGAAAATAACAAAACCAAAAGTGACATGTCCCTAAAAGGTATTGTGATTGGCTAACATATGGCTGAACCTTTACAAACTGGTGTGCATGATGAAACAATTACATCACCTTATGCAACCACCATCACAAATATTTTCCGCCCTGTTACATTACCGGAATGTAATAGACTAATAATGTAATAACCATACATGATGCAAACAATAAAATATTTGTCTCTAGAATTTCAGCCTAAATATGACCATGTGGAGAGGGAAGACAAAAACAATGGAAATGGAAAGCAAAATAGCTTTTCTTTGTCAATTCCCCTGTTATTTGCAACCTACAAAAACAACAAATTCACAAACACACTGCAAATAAAACAGGTAAAAAAAAAACAGAAGAGATAAGATGAACACGACCTTGCTTACCTTTCAACCACATTCATAACATTTACCTTCCCCTCTCTCTTTGGCCAACTAAAAATCTCTCTCTTCATCAACAAACTATGCTTCATATCGCACTCAGAAGAAAATCATCGAGAGGAAGAAATAAATGAATAAAGAACAAAAAACACCCCGAGGTCAAGACAACCTTGATTATAGTTTCCATCGCTCTCCCAAGGAAAAGATGCTATTCCAAGGCTGACCTCAATTTCCCTTTCATTTTCCTTTACCTTCCCCTTCTTACCTTTTCTTCCCTTTAATTTACCTTTTCCCTTTTTCCTATTTTTTCTTCTTCTTCCCTATCCCCCTCTCCCTCCCTCTCTCTCTCTCTCAACCTGTTTACATTTTTTTCCTATTCTCCATTATCAAGAGATTTGGAAGGGGGAAATGGTGAAGGGAGGAAAAGAAACAAGGGAAAGAAAGAAAATAAAAGGAACGGGAGGAAGGGGGCAAGATGGAAGGCAA